ACAACCTACTAAAATCTAAAATGCTTTTGAGGTTTTTAGGAAAAGCACAACCACAAAAGCGGTAAAAGTCGGCAAAAGTACGGATAAACGAAAAAATAAACAAACTACAAATTTAAGCATAAACATTTTGTAAAAGAGGTTAAACAGAAAATTACCACAAAAGAGCACAAAATTAGAGCAAAACGTGACATGCTTATAAGCGCAATTTTATGCTTTTACCATTGTATCTGGATGTGGTCATAAGCAAATTATCGTCAAGTTAAGCTGCACTTATCAATTAAGTCAAGTTTATCTTTGAACGGCAGTTGGCCGTTTAAACTGCGCGACAAGTTAGCTTGTCTATCGCTGTGTGGAACGAAGTTTAAAGTTTACACAGCTTAACTTACGACCTTCTTTGTTAACAAGTTCTAGCTGCCCAGATTTGCTAATATAGTATAGCCTTGTTTTGCACTGTTGCAATACTCAAAACCATTTCATTTAATATCTTTTATACGTTTCTGACAGACTCGCTAAACATGTTCTCCTACAATTGCCAATATAGTTAACAGTATCTAAGCTATTTTCGCGCCTTCATACTTCAAGTTAGCCCACTTTTGTTTCTACCACATTTAATTTATACTGAAATCCACTAAAGCCAAAGCTAAGCGGCCAGCAGGTGTATTCTGGCCATAAGATACTATGGCACTGCCGGCATTTGTATCTTGTTGAGAAATGTGTTTTAATACAAGTATCTGTATCTGCGTGTTTGCTGCTAATTTCATACGCTGAAAGTTAATTGAAGTGACTTTGTTCTGCACCATTAAAGAATTTGTCAAAATAATACTTAATCATAATAAATTATACACTTTGCAATTTATATTATTTGAATTATTTATTTTTCTGTTATTAGTGCATTTAACATTAATTTTGAAATCAAAACTAATTTATTGCAAAATCGTAAGTCATGCTACATTTAATTTATGTGCTGAAAGTTAGCTTATTAGTGGCTTCGTATTAAATATGCTAGCTTAAAAATTAAAAGCAAGAATTAGTGTTATTTGTCAGAATCCAATTCAATTTTATACAATATGTAGTAATAGTAAATTCCATGGTCAGAATTAGAGTTCCATATATCTTTAATACATCAAATCAGCTTACAAATAAAATGTTTTACTTTTGTTTGGAACTCAACTGATAGTTTCTAGTCCTTAGCATAAGAAAAAGTCTGCTACTATATTGGATAATAAATCTTATTAGCCGAAAAATTACTTCAAGTACGTCTAACATATCACTTGTTTAGCTAGAATATAATTATACACATTTAACATAAAAGATCTTCTACTTTCTGCTATACTTTATCTTTGAATAATTACTGTTTAACTAAACAGTAGCAACAATACAAAACTTTGGTAGAATGCCTGAATGAACTTCTTCGATTTCGTTATTAGTATATACTATATTCGCTTAAAAACGTAAACACTGACTTACGTGAACGCTAGATGCCGTGAACGCTTTCTCTTTACTAAGTTCTAAGAAAATTCTAAGATGTGAATAAAATTTCAACGATTTTGGACTTTATATAGTCATATAGTATTTAACATATGTATAATAGTGCTTCAGGCTATTGAGCGAACTTTAAATCAAGTATCCTATTTATTTATTGATTCCCAATTGAATAGAGCATATAGGTGAAGTAGTATTTAAAACTTATGCTAGTATTAGATATAAAAGTTGTGATGATAACAATATTTATGCACGTCGCTTTCTTTTTTGATAATCTTAATCAATTCTAGAAACAATCCTCTAGAAAGCATTTTGTACTTTACCAAAGATTCAAGGTGGTTTTCAAACCTTTGAGTTCTTTTACAGTAATATAATAGGCAAATTGGGTTAAGTGGATCCTTAGAATTGCCAGTATAACCTAATCTAACAATATATATAATAATGAAACAGATTAGATTGGAGAGTGAATAATAAAAAAATCAAATACACACTTTATAATGTCCTGTATATGTAACCAATCCATTCAATTTTAAGTTTGAATTCTTGTATTTCATATTGAAACGTATGAAAATCTTCCATCTTCCATAATCTTCATGTGTGTTTTCTATCTTACCAGATATTGTTTTGTAAAATATAAATCATCTTAAAATATAGAACAATTAGTTTTAATCCCCTGTTTTGATTAGCTACCCTATTTATTGTATTATAACTTATAAATAAAGTATCAAAAATCTCCACAACTAATTCGTTGTTAGGTTAAGATCTGAAAAAAAAATTGTTCCCATGGGCTTCTTCTTCATGCGTATATGTTATTTTAGTTAATTCTTACTGAAATTTATTACTTCATGGTAGAAAAGACCTTCCACCATATTTTTTTCTTCAATTTCAATATCATACATGGCATTACTGGATGATAATTCGCTGGATATACAGCAATTTTATAATTCATTCGAATACGATAGCAATGACCAAACTGTTGAGTCAAAGATTAACCAAAGAACTTTTCCTTTGAACACTTTCAGAATTGCTTTATCAACCCACGTCAATATATAAGTTTCTTTGTACAGACATGTAAGGCATATTTATTTAAATTTTTTGTAAAGTAGGATGATCTTGGAAGGTACTAGATTGTATTTTTATAATAGTCCAAGATAAAAAATGCCTTGTCAACTTATAAAATTTCAATCTAAAAGACTAAATCTGATTTCAGCATTATAAATTAAACAACTATCTAGGAATGTAGTGTTGGAAGGAATTTAGTTTTTTGTAGAGCCATGAATTAGTAAAAATTAGCATAAGTCTAATTGACCATCTTATATATTGATTTCTAACTACGTTAGAGGCGTGTAGAAGCACTACAAGCTCTCTTACTCTTACTTCGCTTGGAAAATATTGATTTTATAATATTTAAGTTAGCACTGGTTGCTCTACAGCCGAAGTTTATAAATAACGAACTAATAAATTTCGAATAAAGTGAATGCTTACCTTTCACAGAAACTGTAAACGCGCATGCAAAATATGTGAATCCAAATAAAGCAACAAACATCAGCAAATAAGTGTATTATGAGCTGAGACTAATGAATCTTCTATAATTTATAATATTTTAATATGGAATAAAAATGATTTTTTTGAATATAAAAGTCACCCTAATGTCATGCTAATGAATTGTTATTTAATTATGATATTCATATATGGACTATAATCTCTAAATATGAAATCCATTTAAAAACTATTAAAAATTTTATTATGGTTATAATTTCCGATGTTATACTATAGATTTTGCAAGACATATTTGATATAAATTTATACGAAATCATCTATTTTGTGATTTCAAAAACTGATTCTCTGAAAAAGAAGAGAAGAGGAACTCACCTTTTTTGATTGAATTCTAAAAATAATTGATTCTCTAAAAGAGTTTCGCCTGTTGAACCAAAATCCGAAAATAATTAATTTGTTAGGCGCGTTCGTTGTAAATTTTAAATTGAAAAGTAAAAAGAAAACTTGTTTTTTGTTTTTATTTTCATTATATTTTTATGTTTATTTTTATTTTAATATTTAGAAGTTGTAGTTGTAGCAATAATAGTAGTAGTTGCTGGTGTTGTTGTTGTTGTTATTGTTGCTAATTTGGAGCAATATTTACGCGGCGCTGCACACTCTATTTATTTTCAATTAATTAATTCATTAATAGCTCTTACAGCAACAGCAACAGCCACAGCCACAGCCACATTCACGACTACAGCGAAGTTAACAGTGACGTTAACGTTAACAGCGACGTTTACAGCGAAGTTAACTGCAATAATTTACAAACTTGAATTTAAATTCGCTCGTTTATTATTAGAAACACTGTAACGAAATTGTTGTTGCCGTTCAATTGCCTGTTTTGTTTTTTGTTTTTTGTTTTGTATTTCACTTTTATTTAACGGAAAGCTTTTAAAGTGGTTCGAAAAACATTAATAAATAATAATAAATAATAATATTTTTGTATTTCACATTAGCACATTTATTACTTTTTTGAATTTTCCTGATGGGCGTTTTTTTTTTGCCAAAGTATTAATTATTTCATATACAGATTCTTAAGACTTTCTAAATTTTTTAAATATTTTATTAATGCAATTCTTTAAGCAAGTTTTTTGGTTGAAGACATAAAAAGCGCGCGAACTTTTCAGTTGACAAATTCTAATTGTAAATTAATGAAAAATTTATTTCTTATTTCAAATCAATTCGCGATTTATTATTATAATTCCGAGATATCATCACGTCAGTTACAAATGCAACTAATTTAATTTTTTATTTATTGTTTCGTAATTTATGGCGAATCATTTGACTGCGCACAACATTTTGTGAATTTATATCCAAATAATTCTTCCACTCAAATTAAAAATTCTGTCGAAATTTTCGATGCGTTAACACACCAAACACGTTCACACGACAACTAAGACTGATTGAGCTTACATGCGAACTTGTTGCATATGCCGAACTGCCGAACTGCCGAACTGCCCAACTAAAAACCAATCCAACACGCGCAACAACAACAAAAGCCAACAACAGCCAACACAGCACAAAAATAGTTGAATTTCTGCCTGAGTTTGAGTTGCTCGTAGCTACCAACCAACAAGTGGGCAGACTGTGGTGAGTTCATGAGTTGCTTTTAACTCAACAAGTTGTGCATTGAGCCGTTGAGCTGTTGTAAGAAAACTTAAATAAAATAAATTACAAAAACAAATTTTAATATCAATATTTTGATAAGCATGCAATGCGATAAAGGTGAAGGTTAATTTGTGCTGAAGAGTTGCTGAAGAGTATGGCAAAGCATCCTTGTCGCTCGCTTCGTGTCCTTGCAGAAGCGTTTTATGTATTCTTTTTGCTATATGTCACATTTTAATTGATTGGCTTTGGTTAAGGCAAATTAGGAGAGTCCTTACTCTACGTGTGTTATGTTATGTTGTTGCGCTTAATTGAAAATTTATTAAATTTATTAAATATTTATGAGATTTTATGGAATATTGTGGAATGCTTACACAAATACTAAAGTTCAAACATAATCGATTAAATGATGCTTCAAATAATATGAACTTAAAAATTTACTTTTGTAATAAAGTTTTAATATGAATTAATATGAACTTTTTTAAATTTATATTTATTGAATGCACATTGATTTAATTTTTTCTTTTAAAAGCCATTGGCAACAATAGCCTTTCACTCAGTTAGTCAGTTAGAACTTACTGAGCGTCTACACTGTCTGGACTTTGACAAAATTTTAATGTACGAACGTAAATACATATAACTTTCAAATATTGTTAGTAAAAAAGTGTGGCATCTTACCAAAAGTCACACCAGTGTAGTAGACACCGAGTGAAAACCGAGTGAAAAGCAACATAGTGTTCAGCTTTGCCCCTGTTCTTCTCTACTCCATTCTATTCTTTTTCAGTTTGTCACTCCAGTCATTTCAGGATTACTATTTAGTCAATCAGCCGTTTATGTGGGCACACATTGAGGTGTTGTTAGAGATGTGTAAGTCATAATCAAACTATCAAACACATTGTCACCTATGGCATTCGATATATTAGATAAGACTTATATATCTATATATATTATGTTGAGGTTAGTTGAGTCAGTCACTTGAGAACTTTTACTCGCTAATTGCAAGGTTTCTTCATGACCGCTCTCTATGCCCTGACCGAATTATTGTTTATCACTTCATCAGACTAAGTAATAACTGACCTCAGATCTGGGTACCTTCCCGAGGAGTCTGTAACTAATCTGAAATTTAATAACGCAGTATTGGTAAGCCTGTCAGTTTTCGTAAATAATTTCAGGGCTCTGTCCTTTATGTATTTTTTGATCGCATTAATCTTGGGGTCCATTTTATGGTAATTGTAATTATTTGTTATAAATGAACACCCCCTCCTCATCTCGTTTTGATTAAAAAAGTTTTCATATTATGCTATACATACAAACATTCTCATCTTATTCACATTTTGCTTTCAATTCTGTCATATGATTCCTTCACATCTACTAGGCTTGATACATAACCTCTATACTTCAAGTTAAGCAGTTTTCTTCTGGCTATGCTTCTAGATGGCATAATTTTTCTTCTATTTATCCACATTTACTCCAATCTTTCCTGCCATACATACATTAGTTGTTAGGAGTCCCAATTCAAATACTGTTATTTAAAGATGAACATTTAAAGATATTTTTATAATTTTATTTCCATTACATTATGTTTTTCTTATTAAATTGACAAGAATTATTTATTTACTTTTACGGAATTAAAAAACAGAGCGAAATAGAATGGCTTAGAAAAGACTAACAATCACCAAAAATAACAGTTTTTACCTCAAAAAAAAAAAATAAGATATTTTATATTACAAATAATTTTTTATGCAAAAAAATTACAATGAAAACGAAAGTTTGAATTTTTAATTAAACGAAATGAAACGTTTTTGTTATATTTTCAACTCTTCATTAATAAATTTTAATTTTATTTATTCATTTTGTCGCAGATTTCCAACTAAAATTTGCGAATAAATTAAGATTTTTTTTAACTGGTCTAACAACCTATGGATTGTGTGTCCAAAACGAAAGTCGTAATTGTTATCTAATAAAATGAACTTCTGGATTATAAATAAATACTTAAAATTTGTAAATGATACATTTTGTTTATAAATAAATTTGGTAATATAGACTTCGTATACTGTACGTGATTCAAGCAGAAGACATCTTAACATATATGGGTTATTATAAGATGCTGTTTATTCCATAAACAAATCATAAATAAAATAAATAAATAATAAATAAATCAATTATGAATACTACAAATGAAGATGAATAAATAATAACGCGTCTATTTGCCATGTACGTCATTGTCCAGGTCTATCCTGGGATTGATAAATGCTAATTAAAAAGCATTAACTTATAGAAACGATTTATAAAGGAACTTGATAATATAAGAAACAAGATTTTTAAGTAATACAATCGACCCACTTGTGCTGGCAGTACATAAAGAACTTTTGGACCTACTCTCTTCTTTAATCAAATCAAATGAAATGTTGTAGAAAATTAACACTAACTGAAAATCTTGTTCCTACTGTTCCACTAAGCGCCAAACACTGTTTTTTTGAAGATGCGTCTAATGCGATAAGCCAGTAGAATCTATCTTCGCATATAATGAGCACCAACAATGTAAATGATATTACGTTCAAAGAGAAGAGCTAACGGCTTAACTAAGTTCTTAACTTTATCTCAGCGCTGAACTACTATATATATAGTCCCAAACAAAGATCTTTCGTTTGTTCATAATATATAATTAGATAATTGCATAAGAAGAATATCTTGAAATACTAATTAAAAATCGCTACCTATTTCATAAAATATTCCATATATGATTGACATTTATAGTTAGTGAGATGAAATATTATGTCATAATAAGAAACTTATAGGTTTTTACAAATATAGAATGTGATAAGCCGTTTATACTTATTTTTTTCTAACAATAGACCAAACCATTTAAGGCTCAGTAGCCAAAATGACTTCAGATATTTTACTAATATGACTGAGCTAACTTATATGACTACAATAAAAATGTTCAAGTTAATTTTCTATGAAAACATTAATGATGTGTGAACGGGAATTTCTATAAAACATAATTACAAACTCTTAAGTTCCTAAACCACTTCAAATGCCTTCCATATTTAGAGCTCTTAAAATATTAAATAGTGTTTAAACATATTTTGCCAAACAAGCTGAGCTTACTCCAAACGAGGTTACTTTTAAAGCTGCCTCAACTTTGGGCTTAGGATACATAAATAAGAATAAAGTGTATCAGCTTTCTGGCAAGATACGAGTATGAATTAAGGTAGTCTCTCTAATTAAGAAGCAGCAACAAAATTTAATACTTAAATTAATTGCTAAAAGCAACGCCCAAACATAGTTTTCCATAAAATTTGTTCAGTTTTCGTATTGAGCAATTGACCACTGGAGCCGCTGTTTAGTGAGGCAATTTAAATTAGTTCGACATTAGTTGCTGTGATTAGCATTGTTACCTAGCCTTCATTATAATAAAGCTGACTTTTTATCATAAAATTATTTTTTTTTTGGTACTGAAAAAATCTTTAATTTTCTAATCAACGTCATTTATTTTATCTGTCTATTTTTCTATCTATATCAAATTATATATATAGTCTATCAAATTATATTTAAATATGAGTATATGCACATTTATTTTTTTATTTTAAATAAAGTTATAGTTTATTTGGAAACTATCATGAAATTCTTATTACATATGATTGGAGAAGAGTAAAAAATAATATATTATTTTTGGACCCGATATGTGTCGATGGGACTAACACTAGAACAACTCGCGTCTTAGTCCAACTCTTACTCCAACTCTTATTTCAACTCTTACTCCAACTCTTACTCCAACTCACGTCTTACGAGTTGAAGTAAGACGTGTTGAAACAGCTAATACTATTTTGATAAGAGAACAGTGATTGCGATTTT